GAGGGCCCCCACCTAGCTATGGCCCTGAGGTAGGCCGAGAGAGAGTGACTGGCCCAAGATCGCCCAGTGAGCTTCTATGGTTCGAGTGACGTAGTCGCGGGTGACGTAGTCGCGGCTTAAGGTACGACTTGGCAACCCTATCCATTGGCCTGACCCAACATGGCCACCGGCAGGGGACAGGGGGGTAGGTTGCCAGATCCAGGTTGGAGATTTGGGAATGGAGCCTGGAGAGGACAGGGACTTCAGTGGGGTACAGTGCCAAGGAGCCCACCCTCCGAAGCATCCATTTCCTCCAGGGGAATTGATCTGTTAGTCTGGAGATGAGCTGTCATTCCGGGGGATCCCCAGGTCCCACCTGGAGGCTGGCGTCCCTAGCCTTCGCCCAGTGCCCTAGGCAATCCCCTAGATCTGCCTAATGGACAGGCCAGCTCACTGCCACAGTTTCGAAGCCAAGGATGCCTGACATTTACTGGCAAAGGGCTAAAAATAAGGGGCTTTGCTTTCTTTGTTAGGATTTCGATATATTGCCAAAAAGTCCTTGGCGTTCAGTATGACTGCTGCTTGTTACTACTATGCTGGCAGCAAACACTGGAAAGATCTACCAGGTTTGGATTACTAGTAACGGAGGATTTGGGATGTAACATTAGTGGACAAAAGAGTTATGGTCAAGCAAGATGGGGGGGGGATTTTCAAACAGCGATGGACACCATTTATTAATAGGTTTGCCAGCTCCAGATCGGGAAGTACCTGGAGATTGGGGGGGGTGGAGCCTGGGGAGGGGGGCGTCCCCAACCGACAGCTAACACCTTCCCACAGGGGAGTTTTTCGGCCTGAATGTGCATTTCCCAGGACCTAATCTTAGGGCTGCCAAATGCAGCCGGGGGGCGGGGAATCCCCCATTTCGGAGCCCCGATTCCCGGCGCGCCGGAATCGGGGCCCGGGGGAAACCCCACCCCCGCGTGCGCGTCACCCGGAAGTGACATCACACGCTGGGGGCGGAGCCACGCCATTTGAGGGGAAAACAAAGAGTTTTCCCCTCAAATGGCAGCCATTTGAGAGGAAAACTCTTTGTTTTCCCCTCAAACGGCGTGGCCCCGCCCAGCGTGTGACGTCACTTCCGGGTGACGTCCTGGCAGCGCGTGTGCGCACATCCCCCAGCAGCTCCCGGACCGGCCGGACGATCCCCCGCCGGTAAGAATTTCACATTTGGCAACCCTAGGAGATCTCCAGGCGTCGCCTGGGGCCTGGCAAGACTATAATTTTTGGAACTTGACGTTCTCCACTGAATCAGTGAGATCCGAAGTACTGCCCTGGATCGGAAGTTATACAACGGAATAAGTTTGAACGACAAGGGAAGTTGGGAAGAATAATGTTAGGCGTATCTTAAAGAATTTTGTGGGGATCTGCATATGATGTGTTTGAAAAATATATAAAGAGAATTTACTCAGAGAGACCTCTGAGGTGGGGGGGGTACATATTCCTTGGCTCCAGGATTAATATGTCACTCTCCCCTGGTCTCCTGGGCATCCTCTTGACTTTGTCTGACAGACTAGGGTGGCCAACAGACCCGGAGGACCATGTCCTGACTCGTTAATAGAGGTTTAATGTGTGGGAATGGGCAAGTGACGCTTTTCATGGCATGGAGGGTGGTGGAATAACAGCCTCTGGAACAAAACATCCCATTAAGCCTCGCATGACAGAGTGAGCTCCCGTCTCTGGCCCCAGCTCCTGCCAACCCAGCAGTTCGAAAGCAAGAAATCGCAAGGAGATAAAGAGGTACCACTTCGGTGGGAAGGTAACAGCGTTCCGTGCGCCTTGGTGTTTAGTCATGCCGGCCACATGACCACGGAAACGTCTTCGGACAGCGCTGGCTCTTTGGCTTGGAAACGGAGATGAGCACCGCATCCCTAGAGTCGGATTCGACTAGCTTTAGAGCAAGGGGAACCTTTACCTTTACTAAAGTGACGGGACATCCCCCCCCTTCCAGGCAGTTGGCAACCCTAAGAGCTACACCACTTTTATATAATCAAGTATCTACAGATTCCGTGTGACACTAGATGGCATCTGAACCTCGAGAGCAGGTTTTTATGTGGAGACAAATGGCGGCTCCCTTATCAAACCCATCGCCTCTTCTTGTTGGCAGGAGCAGTACGAGTTTGTATATCGTGCGGTCATAGAAATGTTCCGGGCCACCTTGGGCATCTCCGTCCCGAACTACGAAAACCTCAAGGAGGTAAGAGCCAGAAAGAAAAGGAGCGACTGAGCTTTTCCAGCTCTTTCCACAGGGGGGCAGTGTTACCTTAATTCAGCGCTTGGAAACTGTTGCGGGATTCTGGAGGTCAAGTCCTTTTCCTGGGATATCCCCCCCCCCCCCCCGTTTCCCTGAGTTCTTTCATTGGTTGGGTGGAGACTGGCAAGGGACTGAATCTAGTATAGAGAGAGAGCAATGGTTCTTAAACAAAGGTCATTTTATTCCATCGTACACTCTTAAGACAGAAAACACTTTATAGCATTTCAGTACTCAGTAGTTCAGCAGTTCGAGACCCGGGTGTGCTGCATGATGGAGTGAGCTCCCGTCTCTAGTTCCAGCTCCTGCCAACCTAGCCATTCGAAAGCAAGAAATTGCAAGTAGATAAATAGGTACCACTTCGGTGGGAAGGTAACAGCGTTCCTTGCGCCTTGGTGTTTAGTCATGCCAGCCACATGACCACGGAAACGTCTTCAAACAGCGCTGGCTCTTCGGCTTTGAAACGGAGATGAGCACCGCAACCCTACAGTCGGATTCGACTGGCTTTTGAGCAAGGGAACCTTTACCGTTACCTTTTTACAGAATATTTCAACCCAATACTTAAAATAGTGCACTTGTATAAAACTCAGAGAGCCGTGGTGGCTCAGAGGTTAAGACACTGAGTTGCAGACCAGAAGGTTGGTAGTTCAGCAGTTCGAGACCCCGAGTTGCCGCATGACGGAGTGAGCTCCCGTCTCTGGCCCCAGCTCCTGCCAACCTAGCAGTTCGAAAGCAAGAAATTGCAAGTAGATAAATAGGTACTGCTTTGGTGGGAAGGTAACAGCGTTCCGTGCACCTCGGCGTTTAGTCATGCCGGCCACATGACCACAGAGAAGTCTTCGGACAGCGTTGGCTCTTTGGCTCGAGCCAGTTTGGTGTAGTGGTTAAGTGCACAGATTTTAATTTGGAAGAAACAGGTTTGATTCCCCACTCCTCCACTTGCACCTGCTGGATGACCTCGGGCAAGGCATAGTTCTGTCAGAGCTGTTCCTGAAAAAGAGCAGTTTCTGTCAGAGCTCTCTCAGCCCCACCTACCTCACAGGGTGTCTGTTGTGGGGAGGGGGAGGGAAAGGAGATTGTAAGCCACTCTGAGACACCTTTGGTTAGAGAAGGGCGGGGTATAAATCCAATCTCTTCTTCTTCTTCTCTTCTTGGAAACGGAGATGAGTGCCACCCCCTAGAGTCAGAGTCAACTGGCTTTCGAGGAAGGGAAACCTTTTTATAAAACTCAGAATGTTCTGGACTGGCCACCAAGGTCTCACATGGAACTGTTGATGGCCAGCCCCTTCCCATTAGTAAATCAGAGAGATATATCTTTCTTGGACCTATAGCTGATAACGTTCTGACTGATGTACCTGTCATGTAGGACTACCATGGATATGACGCAGGCTAGAATTGACTTGAACTGACCCGATGTACTGACCCAAGTCCCTCCCCCGTTCTCTCCATCTCTGGCATCAGGAAGCTCACAGAAAGTCGAGGAGCGTCAAGAAGCTAGTTTCAGATAGTCTTATCCAGGGGTCATTTCGTAGAAAAAGAGGTGCAGGAGCTCACCGCTCAGGTTCCACTGGACTGTTTTGGATTGCTAGCTATTGGGGGGGGGATGTGCAGATCTGTCCTCGCAGAGGAGGGAGAGCTTCTATCTGAATAAAACTTGGTCTTAAAGGTGCCACTGGACTGTTTCGGATTGCTAGCTGGGGGGGGGGACATGCAGATCTGCCCTCACAGAGGAGGGAGAGCTTGTACCTGAAGGCAGGGGGGGGGCCTCTGCAACTTACCTGGCTGCTTCTTGCTCCTCGTGGCCCGACTGAGGGGTGCTGGGAACAGGGGGCGGGGCTTGTTGCATGTGCCCGCCCCCTGGGCTCCTTACTGCCGGAGCTCTGCTCCTGTGCGCTCCCGCAGGAAATGACCCCTGGTCTTATCCATTTTGATTCTGACAGTGACACCACGAACTCCTGGATTGTATAAATGTCCTCTAAGGCGAGAATCATGGACAGGGTTATTGGTACCAGAAGGCCACAGGACTAGTGGAGCCCTGTAGCCTCCTGGGAAACAGAACCAAAGATTCAACAGTAGAGGCTAATTGCTATAGAAATTGAAATAGCAGAGGACTGGCGCTCAGTCCAGGCCCTAATTCCGCAACAGAAACACCCCCCGCAACAGAAACACCCCCCTGAATTGGTTTATTCTCCTCAACCTTATAAATGATCTTTGGAGATCATTTATCATTAGGGTTGCCATCTCCCCGAGGGGGGCTAGGGTTCCCCCACTTTTGGGGGCCCCAATCCGTTGACAGCCAGCCCCGCCCCTGAAGAGCCCCGTGGCGCCTGGCATGCCTGGCACGATGACATCACCCAGAGGCGACATCATCATGCTGGCCACGTCGTGCGGGGAACACTCTGGCATTTGGGTTAAAACTCTATGGTGACCATAGAGTTCCCCCCCAAAAAAATGCTAGAGCATCCTCTGCACTATGTGCCCAGCGCAATGACTTCCAGGTGACGTCATTGCGGAACGCATGCTTTGCGTGAGCACCAGAAGGTCCCGGGACTGGGCAACCCTATTTATAAGACCTGGCAACCCTATTTATAATTCTATTTATAATTATAGGACAGCTCCAGGCCCCACCCGAAGGTTGGCAACTGCATAAAGGCAAGCCTCCGCCTCCCACACACACACACACACGTCTCTTTTGCAGAAGCTTTGAGGAAGTGCCTTTCGTACAGTCTCACTTCCTCATAAACACAGTGCATAGCCGCGTTCCAGCTTTGTAATCCTGATACCTCATTTGGCGAGAATTGAGTGGCTCTGCTGTTGCAAGGTAGTTCTTATGGGGTTGGGACCTGGGGGGGTAGGGAGTGGGGTAAGACGGTGTGGTCTAGACGGTGATATTTCGTAGGGCTGCCAACTGCAAGTTGGGAAATGCTTGGAAGATTTGGGGGTGGAGCTTGGGGAGGGTGGGGTTTGCAGAGGGGAGGGACTTCGGGGTGGTATAATTCCATAGGGTCCACCAAGGCTGCCATTTTGTCCAGGAGAACTGATCTCTGTCGTCTGAAGATCAGGCGTGATTCCAGGCGATCTTCCGTCCTCAACCAGACGTTAGCAAACCTCGATATTTGAAAGTCTCCCCCTTGCTTCCTTGCCGTGGGGTCAGGGGAGACACAGTGGAAGGGTAGCTGGCGAGCCACTCTGATTTTTTTTCGCAAACCAGCTTGTCGGAGCGTCGACCCTTCATTATCTGAACTGTTTTCCCCCTTCCCCCATCCCCAACTGGCTCTTTGGAATTGGCTGGACTTGATCTACGGAGTCGGACGCACAGATGGACAGACAGATGGAAGGATGGGCAGATGGGAAGGTCTGAAAGGGGGGGTGGCTGTGGGGGGGGGGACACAGAGTTTGCTAGGCTCCCAGCCCGCTTTCTGCGTGTACGGAAAATATTTTTAGTCAGTGTGGAAGACAGGCCAAGAGGACAGCACGCGATGAAGCCGGTTCCCACAGGAACCTAGTTTCAGGCAGATGGGAAATGTCAGAGTCAATTAATGAAGTGCACTTAAATAAAGAAAAAGAAAAGCTTCATGGTCTGGCGTATACAGAAGAGCGTGAGGAAAGGGGGAAAGCAGCAGTTGATTGGACGATCGAGGTTCTTTGCTGGGGTAGAGTTATCGGAGGGAAAATTCCGTGTTTGTGAAATTAATGAATGCACGTCATGCTGCGGACTGAGAATCCTGAGGCGGTGGCGGTGGTGGTACCCCTGGAGTCGGAGTCGTGGGTGCCATTTTGAATGCTGGAAAATAACACTCCCACCTGTCACCCCTGAACTGTTTCAGCCCCTGAAGAAAGCACAGGAGAGAAGGCAGGAATTCCTCCTTCCCCTGTGCAGCAGTCCTCATCATGCTCTGACGCATGTTTACTCTTGAGTTGCCTCCAGGACCTAGCAGCTACAAGACAGCTGCAAGTCGCCGTGGAGAACTCGTGTCGTTTGCAACATCAGTTGGGCACTAAGGGTAGTGTTGCCAAACTCCAGGTGGTGTCTAGAGGTAGGGTTGCCAATCCCCAGTTGGGGGCAGGGGATCCCCCCGTTTGGAGCCCCTCCCCCTACTTCAGGGTTATCAGAAAGTGGGGGTGGGGAGAGAAATAGCTGCTGGGTGCTCCATTATACCCTACGGAGACCGATCCCCAAAGGGTATAATGGAGAATCGATCTGGGGGTGTTTAGGGCTCTAGGGGGCTGCTTTTTGAGGTAGAGGCATAAAAAATTCAGCATAGCTGCTGGTGCCTCTCCTCAACCCCCCCCCCCTTTCAAAAAGATTTGACCAGAAGGTCCAATTCTATGAGTCCCAAAATAAGGTGCCCCCATTCTCCATATTTCCAATTGAGGGAAAGCATTTAAAAGGAACACCGTCCCTTTAAATGCAACCGCTGATCACTTAGAACTCTCCTGGGCCCTCCCTCCCCCCTCCCCCCTCCCAGAGGCTCCTGGTAAGTCCCATTTGTCAGCCTCACCTAGCAACCCTATCTAGAGATATCTTGGCAACGGAGATCAGGTCACATGGAGAAAACGGCCCCTTTGGAAGGTGGATTCTAAGGCATTATACCCCACCTCCCAAATCTCTCCCAACCTGGAGCCGGCAACCCTGTCTAAGAGTGTGGGTACATCAACCCTAAGTGTATGGAGAAAAGAGGGTGTTTTTTTGACAATCGCAATTTCTTTTTCTCTGTGCTCAAGGTATACGTAACTAACCACTTTATGGGGGCATTTGGCAGCTGATGAAGTGAACAGTGCGCTACATTACAAATGTTTTCGTCTTTGAGTTACCACAAGGACTTTTGATGAGTCTTAAAAGCAGTTTGTGCTTCCACTGGTTTCTTAAAAGGAGAACTGGCCAGAGTGCTTATTTGCGTTACAAATGCCTCTGCTTCACATCCTCTTCCACAAGAACAACAGCCGTGCTTCCTTGGTATAAGGCAGTGGTGGCGAACCTATGGCACGGATGCCAGAGGTGGCACTCAGAGCCCTCTCTGTGGGCACGCGTGCCATCGCCCGAGCCAGGCCTAGACCATCATTAAAGTGTCGAATTCTCTGCCAAATAATTTTAAGTAAATGAAAGCCTTTGGGATTGCTTTCCTTACTTTGTTTGGATCCTCTTAAGTCAATGTATGAGTTGTTTTTTCTAAAGTAAAACCTCAGTATTCAGGTTAGATTGCCGTGTTGGCACTTTGCAATAAATAAGTGGGGTTTGGGTCGCAGTTTGGGCACGCGGTCTCTAAATGGTTTGCCATCACTGGTATAAGGAAAGAAAGATAACAGGGAAGCTGCTGTCATTTGACTGGCTTATCTGCCACTTCCTCATGGCTGGATACTCTTTTTACGTCCCCACCATAAGGCAATTGAAAACAGTAGAGTCACCATCGAGGCAAATTCAGGTTATTATTTAAAATATAAGTACAGAGTCACTGGTAACCTTGGCAATAACGCACATGGCAAACTCTGCCATAATAAAAGTATTATTGGAGCTCAGCCGTGAAAAGCTTTGCAAAGCCGAGGATGAAAAAGTATAAATTGGCTAAAAAGCTGTGCAAAGGTGACTGTGGGAAGGGAACACTCCTTTGCATAAATCATCCGCAGCAAAACGGCGTGAAAATTAAATAACTTGCAACCCTGCAGTAACTCTCTGGGCACTATACCAGGGACCCAAGATGGAGTCACTGTGGTTTACAATGTGTCCCAAAATGGGGGTTTGATTTGTTGTTGCTTTCCTGCAGAATACCCACAGACGTGAACGTTATTCGTGATGAGTGCTAGGACACCTTGAAATGTCTGAAATGGGGTGGGAGGCTTAGCTGCAGAGAAAGAAAAGCCTGGTTCTAAACTGGATAACCCAGGCTAGCCTGGTCTTGTCATGTCTCAGAAGCTAAGTGAGGTCGACCCAGGTTAGTACTTGGATGGGAGACCACCAAGAATGTCCAGGGTCGCAATGCAGAGGCAGGCCATGGCAAACCCACCTCTAAATGTCTCTTGCCTCAAAACCACTATGGGGTCGCCATATGTCAGCTGTGACATCACATTACACAAAACATTGTTGGGAGAGCAGGTATAGGTTGGCCCAGTTCCCAGAGCTAGTTCAGCAGAGTTTGTTAAAGCTGCACACGCAGGAGTGTCTTTGTGCCAAGTATCCAAGCTTAGTCACAAAGTTACAGGGCCACATTTCAGACTAATAAAAGCCTATTTATTTTGGAACTACATTCTAGATAGGAAAGCTTAGAGATAGGATAGTACGCTAGTCTATCTTACTAAGGATGGACACAGATGGGAAGAGAGCCATCTATGTCATGATGTCAAGACGGGGACAGCGTTTCCTCCCTCTAGTGTAGTGGTTAAGAGCGCGGACTCCAATCTGGGAGAACCGGGTTTGATTCCCCACTCCTCCACATGCAGCTGCTGGTATGACCTTGGGTCAGTCACAAGTTCTCTCAGGAGCACATCTCGAAAGAGCTCTCTCAACCCCACCTGTTGGGGGGAGGGGAAGGGAAAGGAGATTGTAAGGCACTCTGAGACTCCTTTGGGTAGTGAAGGGCGGGGTATAAACCCAGTCTCCTCCTCCTCCTCTTGGTGTAGGCAAGACGTGTGTGTTGGGAGAGGACGAAAGGGAAGGAAGGAGAGGCAGTTTCCCCAAGATCTATCAGCCGACTTCAAAGGGACAGTGGCAGAAGGGTAAACACAGGAAGGAAGCGTAATCTGACCATCTAGCTATCTGACTCTCCTGCCCCGTAGTCTGGAGGCTGAGGCGGGGGGGGGGGTGGTGCCCAGTCCTCCGCTTCCAACAAGCGTTACACAAAGCTCCAGGTAGATCAGGGTAGGCACCTTAAAGACGTAAGAACATTTGTGGCAGGGTACGAGATTCCATGGGTCACTGCTCACTTCTTCAGGAGTTCCAAGTCCTCTAAATTCAATGAATAATTGAGAACACACACACACACACCCCGAACCACCAAGTACTGAATAGGGATATAGGGATCTTGTCTCACTACGGATGCAAATTTTCTAGCCCTTTCTCCCCTGCCCCAATCGAGCGGCTTACATTTCGCATTGCACCTTTGCATCCTGGCTCCCGTCTGCGCAACACCCCCTCCCGCCTCCTGACTGGACCCGGGGATCTCTGTCCCCCCCCTTTGTATCCGATGAAGAGAACGTTGACTTTCGAAAGCTTATAGCCCGAAAGTCTGTAAGGTGCTACTGGACTTGAATCCAGCTCTTCCGCGGCAGACCCTTGGGACGCTCCCCAAATTCAGAGGCAGGTTGTTATGTATGAGGCTTCGCGCAGCTCATTTAACAAAGCGATTCAGCTTTATTGTAGAAGTCCGGAACGCAGGCAACACGAGACAATCAATCGTAGAACAGGCTGACTTATAAAGGATTGGAACGGGCAAAACCACGCCCAACACATGAATACTAACCAATGAGAACACAGGGCTTAGGACCAATAAGAGTGGTTCCCGCCGAAAGGCAAGGCTTACCTGATTGGCCCATTTGTCAAACCTTACAATGCTATACTTATGATTACAATACATAGATGGTTCAATGCTTATCCTTATACTAATACCCAAGTTGCCCCCTCCGTGCGGATATCTATATCTGCACTTTGGGGGCACTTGGGGGGCAGGGGGAGGTTTGTGCACATGTGGGGCAGTCCCCACATGTGCACAAAAATAAAAAAAGTTAAAAAAAAAATCGGAGGGATGTTTAAATCCCCCCGAAAGTGCAAGAGCGTCTCCTGTGCGTGCACAGGAGACGCTCTGCGAATGCTGCCACCGGCCGGGTGGGTGGGGAGGGGGGGAGGCCAGCCGGGGAGGAGAGGCCTCGCCGCCGCCGCCTCCTCCCCGGAGCCGGCAGGCCGGCCGGGGCGGTAG